TTTTTTCTTTTTGCTCAACAAGTTTTGCTGTTGGGGGGAATGGGGTGGGAGGGTTTTTCAAAAATCAAAAAGGGAGAGTGATGCCAAAAAGTTTGGGAACCACTGCTCTAGCCAATAGTCCTGGCTTCCATAATCCATAATTCATGCCTCCTCTTGTCCCTTTTCCCCTCCCTGAATGCCTCTGACATGCTCCAGACATTGGGAGCCTTGCCTGGAAAACTGGATTTTAAGAAATATTTTGACAGGATGGAGAATGATTGGTAGATGTAAACTGGGAGACAATTTAATGCATAGGAAGTAGTATAAAGCCAACAGTGGGAGAAGATTATGAGAGTAGTCAGGAAAAAGGAATGGTAGAGCATATGGAGCACGTATGGAGATCAAAAGAAATAATAGAATTGTAGGTGCAGGCAAAAATACAGAAAGCATTGTAGATAATCTTTGGCAGCAAATAATTTGAAAAGAAAAAAATTCCCTTCTCAGGAACTGGGAAGAGACAATATCTTGTGAATCTGTGAAGTAGAAGTCAGAACCTATTTTGAATAACAGGAATACTCGGAGAAGCAAGAAAGACATTTTTCTCCTGCAGAGCTCTTTTTTATACCACTGAAATACAAAGCAATTCTCCCCTGAGTATTCAGGCTCCTTTTGTTCATTTGTTTGTTAGCTGTTTATTTGGACAACTAGGAGCATGTGTATCAGTGGTATATATAAAAGCAACTTATTCTGAAAAATAAATGTAAAAAAATTTATACTCCCACAAAGGTCAAATGCCAACTGACAGATGTAAAAAATATTACCATGTTTCAAAATATCCATTGCAGCACATTCTCCAATCACAGTGTTATGTGTAAAAACAAGAGGGCTTCTATAGCTCATATAGGATATTATACCATATTACCTATGAGCAATCCAATATCTAGCAATGATCAGTCTACCACCATGGTTCTCAAACTGTGGGTTGGGACCCCAAAGTGGGCTGGGACCTCTTTTTAATGGGGTTGCCAGGGCAGTTGTTAGACTTGGTAGGGCCCAGGGCTGAAGCCAAATCTGAGTCCTACTGCCCCGGGGACAAAGCTGAGGCCTGTGGACTTCATCTCTGGCTGGTAGTACTCAGGTTACAGGCACCTTGAAGCCCTTGGGCTTTGACTTTTCCCCTCACTCCCACAAGACAGCAGGACTCACGCTTCGGGGATTGTGTGGTAATTTTTATTGTCAGAAGGGGGCCATGATGCAATGACGTTTGAAAACCCCTGGCCTAATATATCCCAAGCATAGCACTGCCAGCCTATTATGAACCAACTTCTGCATGCGAACACTGCTGTTCTAGACTGTGGGATTCACAAATCCCCAGTGGTACACAGAAGACAAACCTTTAGGAATAGAGAGAAAAACGTGTTGTTGCAATTGTTATGGAGCTTTCTGTATTTATCTTCTCAGGGTCTCTAGAGAGTAAATCCCATTTTCATGGATGTGATCTTGCCTGTTCTGTGACTGACATTTAGTTATGACAGAGCAACCCTATGACAGCTTTGTAGAAGATACATCTACCAAATAATTTCTGCATGGTGGGTACTAATGACGTTAGATGTTGTTTAATTGAAAAATCATTTAACTGCACCGAATCTTATTGGTTACATGATTATTCAATAGTCCCTGTTGGCGGGCTCTGCATCTCACAGAGCAGCCTGTATCCGCGGCAACAACCCCTGTCTGCAATGTGCATGGGCCTGTGCTCGCCATGGGAAGGGTCTGCGTCAGCATCCTGCTTACCCTTCCCCATGCTGCTGCTTCTGATACAGAGTGAGCAGTGTGGAGGGAGGCGGGGAGAGAGTGAGGGGGAGGCAATTCTGTAAAGCTGGTGCTCATGGGGAGCCAGCTTTTAAGCCAGCTCAGCTAAGCAGTCACTGGCTCCAGCCTCTCTAGAAAGCAGCAAGGGGGGAGCCGCGCAGTACGGGGAGTTGGCTTTCGAGCTGGCTTCCTGCATGTACTGGCTCCCATCTGCCCCTCACCCTCTGCACTTCTGCCTCTCTATCAAATATCCTAATGCCTAATGTTTGCAGTGTGTGTGGGGGGCAGTAGCTTTGTGGAATCTGGTGCTCGTGGTGAGCTGGCTTAAAAGCTGGCACCAGCTCCCAGCTCCCCCCCTTGCTGCCTCTGATACAGAGGCAGCAATGGGAGAGGGTTGCATATAGTCATTAAGATTAACTAATAAGCCTAGGCTTATTGGTTAATCGTTTACACAACTATTCACTATCATCCTTAGTGTGTACATGGTTTAATTTGTCTGTTAGAAAGCCAGGGTGCCATTATAAGTTTGCTTAAAGCAAACAATTTAAAAAGTTTCCTTTGATATAAATCACTGAAGATAAGTAAAATGATATAGGAACCTAAATTTCATTGATTTTCACCCATTTGATTTATTGCAAAATTCTGGCCACACTGAAAATGGGTGTTTTACCACTTTGCAGTCTCCCCTATAACCACATAAAACATACTAATTAAGGAATGACCTCCCGAATTGAATACAAATTGTTTAGAAGTATAAGTCATCTTGCTACATGCATCTGTTTCCAATGAAAAGGGAAATACAAAGCATGAAGTGGTTCTAATATATGCTTCTGCTTGGGCCCTCTATAAAAAAACATGAAGTGTATTTTAATTCAACACAGATATTTGAGTCTTCTAATTACTGCAATGTGTACTCAACATTGACACACTGTTTAAAACACATTAAGTACAATTTTAGTAAGGTTAAATCAGAATAAACATGAACTTTGATTAATAAACCCAAACCATGTCTTAAGTCTAGCTAATCTGAAGAGAGAAACAATTTAAGAGCTTTGGTACTTGAAGCTTGACTTAAGATATTTTCATATGATGCTATCCAGATCACAACATTGCTCATTTGATGGTTTGGTTTGATGTCCTTGTGTTAAGAGAAAGAATATACGAAAGCCTAACTGATCATCTCTGCATTGCTCATTTTGTGTAAATCTATTATGCCCACTCTCATGAGTTTCCTCTTTAAACATAACTGTATCACACTTTTAAATCTCTCATCATTTTTCTGTGCATCTATTCATTATCACTGCCTGTTACTAGGTTCCCTCTATCTTTCTTGTTGTTGTTTGACCAGAATAAAACACAACATTCAAGCAGACATGTCTGCAGCTAAAAATAGAGTCCAACTTGACTAATTAAGAGAACTGGGTGTTCAGAGGAAAGATGAGCCTGTTGCTCTTACAATAGTCTTTCAATATATAACATGAAACATGAGTCTGATTTAATATTTCTGATCTTAAGTTACTGTTCACAGATCAAGGTCTCTGTCAAAAACACATCCAAGTATCAATAAGATCCAGCCTTGTTTAGTTTATGAGAGCTGCCAGGATCTCTGTTCATGGTGATATGGCTCCAGGTACCATATACATTAAAATACTAGCAATATCACAAAACTTGATAGAACATGAATGAAATAATAATTTCATTGCTGAACACACAGTGAAGCTGTATTTCAGGACTGTATACACATCTTCCCTCTCCTGGGTTCAAACTGTGCATTTCATAGTACAGTAGATTTCTGATAATCTGAAACCTTTGGGACCTAGGTGGTGCCAGATTATCGGATATGCCGGACTATCAGGAAGTACTATAAATTGGTTTTATATACATACATATACAAATATACATACACACATACACACACACACACAGAATATACTGTATATAAAGTATTTTAAACCAGCGTCACACAATGCCAGTGGCAGACTGACTCGGTCCCATCCGGTTTTGCTCAGTTCAGCTGCTGCCGCTGCTACCTTGTGACTTGTTTTTTGCCGAAGCTCACTCACTAGGCCCTTGCCATTTTAATGCCGGACTATCAGGAGTGCCGTACAATTGGATGCCAGACTACTGGAGTTTTACCGTATTAATGTAGGTAAACAATATAACTGAGGAGGCATGGACTTTCACATGTGACCAAATTCCCTTTTTTATGAACACTGAAAGTAAAACATTTTCCTGAATCCTCTTCCTCTGATTTAACTACCTTTTATCCTTCACTTATGTGATCTAAGAACGTGGCCCAGTACATCATGGCAAGTAGTCCCAATGTTATCTTTCAAAGGATAAAAAAATAAATTGAATTGTTTGTTGACAGCTGTTCCCAAGAATTCTTGATTTTGCCTAAGAGGTACTGTGCGGGTCCACCTCAAATAATGTTGAAGAAACAGCTGCCTAAAAACAAAACATCAACATCATCTAAAGCAGAAATTTCCCCTATCATCTTTCATACCATCTTCACTGGCCTGAGAGTTTTCTCTGCAATAATTGTAACTCCCAAGTGCCAAGATAAATTATTTCTCTTGGGATTGAAAATTTTTTCCTAAAGAAAATCTGAGTCATGGCTTTCAAGAAGCCTCCTTCTGTCTGTCACTCATAATACCTATTCTTATGGGAGATCTATGGTATAAAAGGTCATTTCTACTAAAACGTTCTCTTATTACAAGAAAAACAGAGATACTGAAGTATTATACTGCTTTTGTTTTGCAGTACGTTTTCTGTTTCTGCAGTTATGAATTCTATTCATCTAACAACCAGAGTGCCTTGTTCAGAACTTGTGCATTGTGTATTTTACAACAGGCTACCCTGTAAGCATTCCAATGTAAAATTTACTGTTATGGAAATACAGTGGTAGCTATTACCGAACAGGCTTTACTGCTCTTTGGGGAAGGACTGCCAACAGGTTAACATACACAACAGGAGTAAATATCATATTCCACATTATTAAATCAGACACCCGTGTTAAATATTATCTATAGTAAGGCGTCATTGCAATAAAGAATGATAAGGTTACCAGAAGCTCAAAACATTTCTCCCACTTGTTTTCTTCTTTCAGTTTAACACCCTGTTTTATCATTGGCAATTACTTTGCTGTTTGAAAAGAAAACACCGCACATTTTAAATTATGCATTCTTGTTCAGCATATCTAGTCTCACCTTGCGGATGCCTCTGCCAAGATCTTCTCCATAATTGGTCCCTAGAATTTCAAAATGGACATTGGGATTCCTTCCATTGTCTGCAAATTCCAGTTCTCCAGTCAAGCCATTCACTCCACCCTGATGGAAAGAGAAAAAAAAAAGATGGAGTGAAAACTCAAAAAATATCTAAATAGACTATATATAGACTCATAGACTTTAAGGTCAGAAGGGACCATTATGATCATCTAGTCTGACCCCCTGCACAATGCAGGACACAGAATCTCCCCCACCCACTCCTGGAATAATCCTCTCATCTATATCTCAGATATTGAAGCCTTCAAATAGTTTAAAGACCCCAAGATGCAGAGAATCCTCCAGCTGTGATCTGTGCCCAATGCTAAGAGGAAGGCCTCTGCCAATATATGTATTTGAGAAATATGCACTAGCTATGCAAAACATAGACAACAGCAGAAGCAGATGGTTAACCTCAATAGATGAAGTTTGTCTACAGAATCAAAAATCATTGGGCCTCATCCATCACTGCATTATTCCAGTTTTATATTGGTGACACTATTGATTTCGGTGGAGTTATGCAGGAGTAAAAGTGGAGTAACGCAATAGTGATTTGTATACTTGGGCTACGTCTACACTGCCCCGTCTCGTGCAAGAACATATGCAATGAGGCACGGTGATGAATATCGCCGTGCCTTATTTGCATACTTAATGAGCCACTATTTTTGCGCAAGGGGCTTTTGCGCAAGGAGCAGTCTACACTGCTCCTTCTTGCGTAAAAACCCCCTCTTGCGAAAGAGCTGTTCTGACGCTTATTTTCAGGCAGAAAAAGCCCCTTGCCCAAAATGGCGGTTCATTAAGTATGCATATGAGGTGCGGCAATATTCATCACCACACCTCATTTGCATATGTTCTTGCGCAAGACTGGGCAGTATAGACATAGCCTTTGTGTTTACTGTGACCATGTCTATAAAATTCAAATCTGCAGTTAGATGAGAATCTCATTAGAACAGGATTTTTTGTAAGATTTACATTTTGCTTCCATCAGGCTAAACAGTGGTCTTAATTATGGTATTCTTACATTCCAGCTTTTGGTGCCAAAGAGAAACTTGAGGTAAAACCGTGGTCCCACTCAAGTCAATGGCAGCTTTACCATTACTTTCAGTGAGATCAGGATTTCACCCTTGAAGTACACACATAGAAGAAAAAGGAAATAAAATCAGTTCACTTACATTTTTCAACCCCCTCACCTCCAAGAGAAACTCAGATTGGAACCAAACTGAGTTTGAAGCAAAAGTTCAATGGCTCCTTTGGACCCCTCAGGATTAGAGGTTTGTACGGCTGAACTGACAGACCTCTGTAAATTCTTGATAGCGCCTTTCTAGCATTGTGAATGCAAGAAAAGCAGCAATGCCCTGCACTATCAGGCAATTTTTTATTAAGGCCAACAGGGATGAATATGCAGCAGAGGTGAAACAATCAGTCTTTATTTGGAAGGATTGGTGATGAAAATGCAACAAATACCATAGCTACACTCAAAATACATGCTAGGGGATAATACAATGCCACAAAAATGGCTCAGCCATCTATAAAAGCTGTGCGGACCTGGAGCTGCATAATAAGAAGAACTTATATGTATATTGAAACCTTAAACCTCTAGATACTCACCTGATTTCTAGTTTCACTATAAATTTGATACTTAGCCCATTTTAAAAAAATACAGTTTGAAAGCATATTGATCAAAAGACAGCCAATTTATCACTCCAGTGTGAAAGTATGCTAAGCTTGTGCTATTGCTGCAGAAATCAGATGGATTTTGTAGTTCTGAGTGCACTTTCAGTTGGAGTTTTAATATTTGAGGTAAAAAATTCAAAGTGAAACTCAGGGAATATGACTATGGATTGCGCAAAACAAGGCTGTACTCCTACAGGTACATAAGCAGGCACCTAACTATAAGTACCTGTTAGAGCAAAGGTAAAAAACCTACATCCAAACATCTTAAATTTGGAGAGAATCCAGATATAGAAATAAACTTTGGAGCTCAGGAAAAGTTTCAGTGTGAGCAAATGGAAGTGAAGAGAATTTTTAATATTACTAGGGGGCTGTGCCCTCTGTTTGCTTCGTTCGCCAATCACCCTCCCCCTTCCCCATTTCGCTTTGCTGAGAGATCCTGTTGATGCTGATGACGTGATGACTTCATTCTGTCGCCCGGCAGGAACATTCTGTCATCCACCAGGAAAATCTTTTTTATAATATATAGAGCAATAACAACGATAAAGATAGGAAAGGCTTGTAGTATTGCCTATTATTAAAGTTGCCTAACACTTTGCATTATCAAACTTTGTTTTAGTTGCTTATAGCTTTGCCAAACTTAAACCATTTGGGGTGAATTTTTTTTCACACAGGCTATCAGCATCACATTTCAATTTTTTGGAAAATTTCCATAGGAACAGGGGCTTGAGATCCAGCAGGGTAGGAGTGTTTTTGAAGAATATTTATAAATTTACTAATAACACTCCACAGTGATATTAGCCTCGCTCTGTTATAACATTATGGTTAATCACCTCCCAGAGAGTATACAGACAGGAATAGGTACTACTCTATTTACAGAGGACTGTGATATATGGGGCAAAAACAGAAGACATCACATACTGGTGGAATGTTATAATAACTTTATAAATTCTCTTCAAACCACTCCTACACTGACTTATATGAATTACACAGGACAAATTCTGTCAGAATTGCCAAATCTACAGAGCTCTTTATATCTGTGGGTATCCACATCCACATATGTGGATGTGGAAATCTATGGCTCATTTTTGCAGATACAGATGTGGTTATAAATTTTGTACATAGAACCTTGCAAATTTGTGGATATCTGCTTTATATCTGTGGGTACTGCAGATGCAGATATCCGTGGCTCTATTTTGCAGATAAAAGATGTGGATACAGACACAAAATTCTGTATCTGCACAGGCCTCTACAAATCGACACTGATGGCTCTACGGATGACCTCACAGGTAGTCAGAATAAGAACATAAGAATGGCCATACTGGGTTAGACCAAACGTCCATCCAGACCAGTATCCTGTCTACCGACAGTGGCCAATGCCAGATACCCCAGCGGGAGTGAATCGAACAGGTAATGAGCAAACAATCTTTCTCCTGCCGTCCAGCTCCACCCTCTGACAAACAGAGGCCAGGGACACCATTCCTTACCCATCCTGGCTAATAGCCATTAATGGACTTAGCCTCCATGAATGTATCTAGTTCTCTTTTAAATCCTGTTATAGTCCTAGCCTTCACAATCTCCTCAGGCAATGAGTTCCACAGGTTGACTGTGTGCTATGCGAAGAAGAACTTCCTTTTATTTGTTTTAAACCTACTGCCCATTAATTTCATTTGGTGGCCTCTAGTCCTTATATTATGGGGTCAAGTAAATAACTTTCCTTATTCACTTTCTCCACGCCAGTCATGATTTTATTGACCTCTATCATATCCCCCCTTAGTCTCTTTCTTTCCAAGTTGAAAAGTCCTAGTCTCTTTAATCTTTCCATATTCCTGAATTCAGCAGTAAGAGATTCATGAGACTATCCAATTTTGTGGGATTATGACATCCTAATTGACATACTGTTAGCAATGACCTGAATAAGGAATGTAAGCCCAGATATGACTTCTATCCTATGGGGATCTTTTTTGGGTATAATGGCAATGAGGAAGGAAGCCTCAGAAAGCAGAAATGACTTAAGCAATGGAATATTGCTCTTAACTACAGCAATAGTACAATTATGCATACCATAGTAATCATGTGGATTCCATTGCATGTCAGGGTTCTGGGCAACAAGATGGCAGATAAAGCAGAAAAATGCTTTAAAATTGAGAAGGTTGATATAATAGTCACTCTGAAAAAACTTTGAAAGCTTGGCTAAGTGAGAATTTAAGAAGGAATGGCAAGAAGCATGGCCCAAAGAGGAAAAAAAGGATGATATATATTGAATATATCCTAACGTTGAGATGCATTGTATAACACAAAGTCCAAAAAACAGTTTGGTATCAGCTCAGTAATGGAGACAGAATTAAACAGAAAGAAAGAACAATGGGGAATCTTGTGGCACCTTAAAAACAAAAATTTATTTGGGCATAAGCTTTCATGGGCAAAGACCCACTTCATCAGAGGCAGCTGGGCTTTGTCCATGAAAGTTTATGCCCATATAAATCTTTGTTTTTTGCATCTGCAAAAAACAACGAGTCCTGTAGCACCTTAACAATTAACACAGTTATCCCTCTGATACAGAAAGAAAGATTCTCTCTGAATAACTGAGACCCTCAAGGTGACAAAATATAGTCTGGAGAAATTGGGGAGACTGTCATGAAAGAGAGGTGGCATTAAAAAAGGCATCACTTTGGTTTCCAAGGATACAGGACTGGGTAGGAGGATATAGATTTTTGTTTATGCAAAAACTACCATAGGTGATAGTCATAGCCTCTCATGCTGAGGCTGCTGTGCCATTAAAAACAAAAGAGAGAAAGAGAAAAAGAGAAAAACAGGACAGGAAACAGCTCTGCAGTCACTCCTTAGAAAAGGAGGGGAGTTTGCAGGAGACAAGGAGGAGTTCTAGGGGAATATAAGCTCTGGGATCCTACCTTGGAATATAGACTTTGGCAAGAACCAAAGGGGAGATAAAGTAGCCACAGTAAGAAGAGGAAGCTTCAGTTGTGATCCAGCATGAAGGGAATGTGTGCAGAAGATAGGAAGGAACCCAGGGTAACAGCAACATGCTTTGAGATTGTATTGACACAGGGAATCTGAACCCAGAATCTGGAGCAATGGGTGGGCCCCAATCTCTCTACAAACCTCTGGAGAAATGGTGCAGTCTGGGTTATGAACAGGCAGACTGCCTGAGTGTATCTAAAGGGACTTTGATACCCCAGAACGGGCAAGCCAGCGTGACCTGGCTGATGAGTCAAACCATGAAGAGGCAGCACACCTAGTCATGAACAGGGACTGATCAAGTCAGGAGAGAAACACCCCAGTGCAAGCATCTAAAGAGGGATTCTCAGATTGGGAGACAGCAATCTCCAGCAAAGCTACAAGAAAGTACCACAGTGATGAGTAGTAAGCCCTGG